AGGATAGCGGCCTGTCCCAGCACATCTCGCTTGCTGCAGTCAGGGCTCCCCACAGCAAACACTCAGTACAAGAGTGGCACTAATAGAGTGACTGATGCTACTGCTCATCCCTAGAGACTCTCATCCCTCTTTGCTGCCACATGGAGTCAGTAAAATTCTCCAATGGCCTGCACCAAGTCTGTCTTTCTGGCGGCTTTCATCTTGTTTTTCTTGGCRTTCTCGCTGTGTGATGTTTGTAGTGACAGGCTCTTTGACCCTCTTCTTCCTCCTCACTTCTTGAGTTAAGAGCCACCCCCACCTCCACCCCCACTGACAGTCACTGTAGATGAGAGTAACCTCATGAATGGAATGATTTCTTTGGCAATGACATTTTCCATAAAGTGTGCACCCTGSAATGAATTTGGGAGACTGAAAGGCTTTGCCCTTTGTTTTTGTAAGGTTTCCTGCCACTGCAGACTGGGAACTGCCACTCCACTGCTGGCAGACACCAAACCCTGAGAGATGTGACCTACAGAGAGCAAGGAGGGGATTGCTATGAAGACCAACRTGCAAAGTGCTGAACACTCCTTCTGATGGTGTTGTGATTGGTCTAGCTACACAATCTGCAAGTAGATAAATGATAGAGACAGGAAGGAATGCTGGATCTCTACTCTTTTGTTGTTCTGGAGTGACCAAAATCATGTGGAAGTGCCTATGGAGTTTCTGATACATGATAAGGAATAGGTAGGGATGAGGTACCAAAATGAGGCTTGAGAGCCCAGAACTCTGTACTGGYATCTTTGAAAGAAGGCGCTTCTTCCCACTGTTGTCCCACCATTGTCCCYGTAACTTAGAAGAAGAGTTGGAACTGGAGGCTTTGTGTGATCTGGGCATCCAGCTCACAACAACTCCATTCTCTGTAGGATGCACTACTTGCACACTCGCCCCTGGGCCATGAGCCTGCAGGATTGCTGCAGTGCTGGATTGTAGATGGSGGGGTTCTTGCAGCAGTAGGGGCAGGTCCAAGTGCTGACTGACCCAGTCTGCCAGAGACAGAGGAAAGAATAGTGATCCAATCAGGATACCTCCGCAGCCTGTGGTCCCTGTTATTCAGGCTGGGGTTTCCCCCAGGCAATGTCTTGCTCCTTTCAGGATGATAGGAGTACCCCACATCCCCAGATGCCCATTTCCCTAGACAGATGTGACCGTGTGTATGCAGACTGGTTGGATATAGCAGTTTTTTCACCTCTCTATCATCCTGCAGTTGGTGTTTGGAGCGTGGCTTTGCTCCCAAAGCCACAGGTCTCTGGTTATATTTCTTTCTGAAATGACTTCCCAATTCATTCATGTTTTTTTTCCTATGAGCTGGAGAGGTAGCTTCAGCCGATGACAGAGGGATCCGACTTAGCGTTCCAAGACAGGATCGTCAACGTCTCTCATCCCTCTGAACTTCGCCTTGAGGATGAACCCAGGTGTGAGCAGGATGTACCTGTTGCCAGGACTTTCCAATGGCTGAATTTCAGTTTGAGGACTTGTTAGCATCTTTTCCCCCCTCAACTGTCCCCCCCATGCTTGAGGCCCTGGGTTGCCCCTCTCCCAGCATCTGGTCTCTCCCCAGTAGGCAGCCAGGACAGTGAATTGCTCTAGCCACGGGCTCTGTGCCGGAGCGACAGCCTTTCTGCGCTGTGTGGTAATTATCTGTTTTGATTTGTGTTGTATATCTGTGTTAGACAACCTGGTGCAAGTTCTGTTTGCTTCCCTAATTGCTGCCAAACTCTGAGCTGCTGGTTTTAAGTTTCTTCCTTTTCTCCTCTCCTCTTCTTACACTCTCAAACAAATTTAAGCCATGTGCAAGCATCAGAGCCCCAAATCCTCTGTCGGGCACTATAAGTATAGGCAGCAGAGGCTGGGTCTGAGCGAGAAGTGGTGCCAATCTGTCTGCACAGGGATGCACCCATCCCTGGAGGACAGTGTCTCACCAAGCTGATGCCACCAATATTATGCCACTAGGCTGTCTGTTGGCACATCCACATCAGTGCTGCTTGCAGCATGGCAGAGACGAGCAGGTTTATCAGCTGTTGTGGCCCTGCTTCCCCGCTCCTCTCCCCTGGCTGCTGTCTGCACAGCCTTGCTCCTCCCTTGCACTTCGCTGGCTGCTGGCTCCAGGGAGGCAATTCAGCTCACTAAATGGTCATAAAACTACTCCACAAACCTGGAAGGAGGCCAGAGCTCTGTGTAGATTGCCTTAGCACCAGCTCCCATTCCGCATCCCTGGTGTGCTGGGTAAGGAGTTCCTGGGATATACTATACGTGTGCACCCTGCGGTGTTTATATTCATAGAYTGGACTGTGCAGCTCAGCTATCTGTGCTCTTGTTTTCTTCTACCACTCATTTTAGCTGGCTTCTCTCCTCCCAATTGATCTGGAAGAGTTAGCTCTGGCACTGGACATTGGGAAGATAAAAACTATGGTCAAATATGTGAGGTAAGGGACAGGAAAGGATATTCCTGCTTTCCAGCCACAGCCCAGGGTCTGCATAGAGGGCTGCAGAGGCCCAGCCCTGGAAGGAAGGTTCTGCAGGGTACTGTCCGCATACCAGATATCCTCCTTGTAAGCCAACATTCACATACCATGACCTTCACATGTGAAGGTCCCTGGCTCACCAGTCACAATACTGGTCCCTTTTTTGCCCTCAGTCACCAGTGTAACAAGGACACTTCCTTTGAGAGCTGGGACCTAGGGCAGGGAGAGGCTCCGGGGCAGGAATTCCAGCTCCCAGACAGGACCACAGCTAAAACTATGTCCCTGCCAGGCCTCCTACATCAGGGCCCTGCAATCTCTGTCTCAAATCAAGCGCCTAAAATACTTGCCTTACTTCACTCCTGGCTTTTAGCTTGTGTCTGTAGGGAGTTGGCAGCAGAGAGTGTCCTTAGACCCCATTAGCCGTCACCAAATGGATGTGCCAGCCAGACATGGTTACTCACTGAGCAGCCTCCCTCCCGTGGGTGCTGGGGGAGGTTGTCCCTCTCTCTTGCCAGTCCCTGAGCTGAGCTGGGCTGCCTGGACCCTCTGCCCTGTCCCTTCCTTGAGCTGCCCACAACTGCTTCATCTCAGCCCCATTGCCTCCCTCAAGCAGATGGAAGGAGGACGGAGAGGGGCTCCAGATGGCACTAGCCCTCAGGGCCCACCTGAGTGAGCAGGGTCCTTGCTCCCAAGGAGAGGAGCCAGATCCTCTCCATTGACAGCCGCTTTCCCCAGCAGCCGAGCGCTTCCCACCAGCCACCTGCCTGCACCGGGACGGCTCGTGCTGGGCAGCCGTGGGGCAGAGCCGCCCCCGCCGGGCAAGCGGTGCTTCCTGGGGAGCCAACTGGCACCGCGGAGCCTGGCATCTGCACCGGGCATGGCTCCGCGCCAGCCGCCTGCTCATGGGGCGCAGCCCCGGAGCGGCAGCGCCGGAGACACCGGCCCAGGTGCCCGGAGAACTTCACCTGCGCCCCAGGACAGGCACCTGCTGGACGGGAGGGGACCCAGACCCCATCAATTATTTACATCCGTATTTATAGAGGGAAATGCGTTTAATAATGCATCGTGGGGTGTGGCGGGGCTGTTTGAAAGCCTGCCTTGCTGCAGCTGAAATATTTATTGGCCTGGTTTGCTGTGGTGCCGCCTGGCTCGCGGGCGGCTGGGAGACTCAGCTCCCGGCCGGCACCAGCTCTGCCATCCAYGGCACAGCTGGCACTGTGCGGCACATGGAGCCGCAGCCTCTCCCTGCCTGCACCAGCTCGGCCTCTTCCTTTCTTCCTCTCCCTCTCTCCTGCCCACCCAGCCCTTCCCACGCACCTCGCCGTGTGGGTGCCCACCTCCCTCCCTCCTCTTCTCCCTCCTCCATCCCTCCTGCACACAGGCCTTTAATTCTCCCTCTTTGCTCAGGCTGGAATTGCTGGGGTAGCAGGATTGTCCCGTGCTGCTGTCCAGGCCTTTGTGAGGAGGGTCTCRTTTGCTGTGGGGACAATGTGCATTTGTTCTTTCTGCTCAGATTTGCCCTGAAGGGGCCCCAGGATTTCACCGCAGGATTTGCACCRCCTGAGCAGGCCAGGGCTGCTGTGGGAAATATCTGGGGGTGCTTCATGAGGTGGGGTGTCTCAGGGCAGCTGAGGCAGGTTCCTCTCTCCTCCATGGCAGCCCCCAAACATGCTTCACAGGGTCACTTTGGCTCCTGGAGGGAGGTGGGCAAGGGGTGGATCTGTGATTCAGTCCTGGCACCTTGCACTTTGCAATGAAGCGATGCAAAACCCAGAGGAGGGATAATGGATGGACGTGCCTGCAGGGAACATTTAGGGACAGAACTCTGCCACTGCTGGGATACTGCAGGTGCCAGGGCCACATAAACCCTCCGAGGACACCGCTCTGCTCGCTGGGCTATGCCCAGCCCAGCAGTGGCCTCATGCAGCACCTGTGGCTCTCTGGTGCCTCCAGTGCTGTCCTGCTCCCCACCATCCCCTGGGGATGCTGAGCTCCCAGGCAGGGTTCCCAGAGCTGAGCAAAAGCACTTGGCTTTGCCCAGGCCTTGCCAGCTGGGGTGGCCCATCCACCCAGCCTGCAGCAGCCGCCTCTGCCCTGAGCACCACGGGCTGCCTTTGCAGAGACAGGCTGGATCTGCCGGCTGTGACACATTCGTCACCTCAGCTCTCAGGACCAGGCCTATGTGCCTGCAGAGGAGCACACAGTGCCCACGGGAACTGCAGGGTGGCCGTGGTGGCAGAGGGAGGTGGGAGGGTTGCTGTGTCCCGGTCGTGGTTCAGAGGTGCTTTGGGAGATGACAGAGAAAAAGGACCTCCCTTGAGGTCTTCTTAAGGGTCCCTTTGTGGTCCTTCTCCCTGTTGTCGGGATGAGCCAGGTGCCCCTTTTCCCAGCTCCTGTCAGTGGCCCAAGACCCTCCTCTCCTGGACCCCTCTGCGGCCCCTGGCGCTCGGGGAGCCCAGCGCTCATGGCAGCTCCTCACCCCTCCTGCCTGTGTTGCAGAGAGACCCGTGGAAGATGTCGAACCAGAGAAACGGCGACACCAAGCCCCCATGTTTGCCCCGCAATGGACTGGTGAAGATCCCCACACAGCCCAACGGACTTGGCTCCGCCAGCATCACCAAAGGGACCCCCGCCGTGAAAAACCGCCTGTGCCAGCCTTCCTCCGTGCCTGCCATCCTCAGCCCGGCCTTAGCCAACCACAGCGACCTGCCCATACCCAGCCTGGCATCGCCCCTGTCCTTGGCCGCTCTGGCCGGAGTGTCGTCYCCTCCCAGCGCCTCCCTGGTGGGACTGAACTCGAGCGAGGCCTCCCCGGGCAAGGAGCAGCCCTCGCCGGAGCGGCTGCCCGGCTCGCCCTCGGAGAGGCAGCTGGCGGTGGACGAGAAGATCCTCAACCGCCTGTTCTGGTACTTTTCGGCCTGCGAGAAGTGTGTGCTGGCCCAGGTGTGCAAGGCGTGGCGGAGGGTGCTGTACCAGCCCAAGTTCTGGGTGGGCCTCACGCCGGTCCTGCACACCAAAGAGCTCTACAACATCCTGCCCAGCGGCGAGAAGGAGTTCGTCAGCCTCCAGGGCTTCGCTGTCCGGGGCTTCGACGGCTTCTGCCTCGTGGGTGTCTCCGACCTGGACATTTGTGAGTTCATTGACAACTACCCCCTGTCCAAGAAGGGGGTGAAGTCCATGAGCCTTAAGAGGTCGACCATCACAGACGCGGGGCTGGAGGTAGGTGTCCCCAGCACTGGCAGGAGGGGAGCGGGTCCTGCACCAGCCTCTCCATGGCACGGGAAGTGGGAGCCACTGATGTAGCAGCAACCCCATCCCCTGCAGCCCCCATAATGACCCTGATGGGACATTGGCATCATTACTGGGGTCTAGCCTGGATCCACCAGCTTGGGAAGTGCTCCTCATCTCTGTCCTTGTCCCTAGGAGCACAGCCTGCACTGGCTGTRCCCCCCAGCCCAACTCTCTGCTCAGCCATCAAGCCCTTTCGAGCACTTGTCCCTGGGTCCCAGGAATGATTCCTCTCTCCTCTGCGTGGAGGTGTCTCCTTCAGGCCTGGGGCTTTATTTTGCCCCCACTTTGCTTGCCCAGCGTGGCAATGTGTGTGCAGGGCTGGAGGAGCTGACGGTCTCGCTGGTGCGGTGCCACCGCAGCCCTGTCCAGCTCCCACATTCACCATGGCAGGGAGCCCCCAGTGCCACCGGTGCCAGTGAGGGCTCTTAATGGAAACAGACGGGGAAGACTCATAAAAGCCAATCCCCGCAACTCAGGAGAGGTGAACCCCTGATGACACATGGTCACTTTGCTCCAGTGCAATAAGGTAGCACTCATCAGCTGCACTGCAGTGCCTAACCCTGCATGCCCACCTTCTCTGCTCCTTTACCCAGGTGGTAAAGTAGGCAGGAGCCTCCATCCTGCAGTGCAGGGGCTGTGCTGGGAGCCCCAGTGCTCAGCCACGCACCGCAGGAGCCCCGCCAGGCTGGGTATCCCCTCTCGGGTGCTGTGGTGTGCAGGACATCTTCCCTCCTCTCCTGCGTGTCCCTTTCTGGAGGGATGTTCCACCCTGACACATGGGCTGTGTCCTCTCTATATGGGGCTGCCTGTCTGGTGCTGCCCACTCTCACCATCCTGCTGATGCTGACATGTCCCATCAGCTCCAGAGATACACGGGCAAAAGAGGGCCCTAGGAGGAGGTGGAAAAGGATGAACCTCTGCAGTCTGGCTCCATCGCTTGGGAGGACATGGGGATCCATAAGCTATTGAGAGTGGGGAAAGGCTGGAAGGGCAAAGGGCTGGCRGCAGTTGGAAGAGCCCAGGGCAGGACGCGGTGGGTAATTTAGCACCTGATGGAGCCCGGCAGGGCTGTGAAGGGTCTCCCTGAGTCTTGCTGGCACGGCCGCGGGTGGCACTGGCATGGGAGGTGCTGCGGGAGCGGGTGCAGCCTGCGCTGACCACGAGCCTCTCGCCAGGTGATGCTGGAGCAGATGCAGGGCGTAGTGCGGCTGGAGCTGTCGGGCTGCAACGACTTCACGGAGGCCGGGCTCTGGTCGAGCCTCAACGCCCGCATCACCGCGCTGAGCGTCAGCGACTGCATCAACGTGGCCGACGACGCCATCGCGGCCATCTCGCAGCTCCTGCCCAACCTCACCGAGCTCAACCTGCAGGCCTACCACGTCACGGACACGGCGCTGGCCTACTTCACCGCCAAGCAGGGCTACACCACCCACACCCTGCGCCTCAACTCCTGCTGGGAGATCACCAACCACGGCGTGGTCAACATGGTGCACAGCCTGCCCAACCTGAGCGTGCTCAGCCTCTCGGGCTGCTCCAAGGTGACGGACGACGGCGTGGAGCTGGTGGCCGAGAACCTGCGGAAGCTGCGCAGCCTCGACCTGTCCTGGTGCCCTCGCATCACCGACATGGCCCTCGAGTACATCGCCTGCGACCTGCACAAGCTGGAGGAGCTGGTGCTGGATCGGTGAGGGACTGTGGACGGGTGGGAGCTGGGCCKTGGCGGGGAGGCCGGTGTCTTGTCTTGTCCATGGGCAAAGGGGATGGCTACGGATGCAGCGAGTTGGCCGTGGCCGGAGCAGGACTCCACAGCTCCTTCCCTGGGCCGTGGGGCTGTGTCCGGCCGGCCTGACGCCCGCTTCCCCCGGCAGGTGTGTGCGGATCACCGACACCGGCCTCAGCTACCTGTCCACCATGTCGTCCCTGCGGAGCCTGTACCTGCGCTGGTGCTGCCAGGTAGGAGCCCTCCCTTCCCGCGGCGCAGCTCCCTGCTGCACCYGGAAAGCCAGAGAGCCAGCCGGGCAGCTGGAGCCGCGCAGTGCTGGGAAAGGGAATAGGGACCAGGGATCTCATCCTGCTACCACCCCGCCAGGCTCAGCTGCCTTGGAAGCAGCAGCGGGAGTCGCGCTGCTCCTGGCAGTGCTGTTCCGGGAGCTGGGATCCCAGATCTTTTTCTTTCCTAGGTGCAAGACTTYGGCCTGAAGCATCTCCTGAGCATGGGCAGTTTGCGCCTCTTGTCTCTCGCAGGTGAGACCCCTGCTCCGCTCCGTCCTCGGCCTGGGCACCGAGGGAGAGCCTCCACATGGGAACAGGGACAGGCCCCTGRGGATAGGCTTGGGGTGGAGCTCCAATGTCCCATGCCACTGGTCCTGGTGGCGCTCCCCTTCCCGGTGGGCTCCCGTTGGACACCGGGACAGACGCCCAGGCCGCGGGGACAGGCACCTGCAACGCGGCCACCCCGCCAACACGCCGTGCTCTCTGCTTGCAGGCTGCCCCTTGCTGACCACGACGGGGCTCTCGGGGCTCGTGCAGCTGCAGGAGCTGGAGGAGCTGGAGCTGACCAACTGCCCCGGTGCCACCCCGGAGCTCTTCAAGTACTTCTCCCAGCACCTGCCGTGCTGCATGGTCATCGAGTAGCCGCTTCGCCGCGCGCATCGGCCGGTCCGCGGAGCCGTCTTCTCCAGCCCCAGCAGTGACCCACCGAGCTGCGCCATCGTCTGACATCACCCACCTCATTTCTTTCTGTCTGAGGAGGAGAGACGCAAGAGACACTGTCGATTTAAGCAACCGCGTGTAAAGCCGAGTCCCGCACATTGACGCATCGGACACTGGCACTGGAGAGACTCGTCGCTCCAGGAGGAGGCGGGGGACAGGGCGGCCGGTGCCTGCGCCCGCCCCGCTGCAGCCCAGCGGGGTGCTGGACCTTCCCCACTTCTCCATCGTCGTCTTCGTCGTGCGCTGCCCCGCAAGCCCCTCCCAAGCACACAAATGGACGCGCAAACCGCCAAAAGCGCACGCGGACGGAGCCGAGCGAGGAAGGAGGCGGCGGCGGGGCGGGCAGCAGCGGTCCCAGCTGCCGGGTCCCTGCGCTCCCGCTGCCCTGGGCGAGCTGGGCGCTGAGTGCCCGGGCACGGAGAGGAGGAGGAGGAGGAGGAGGAAGGATGCGCCCTGGCGGGCAGCGCTTTTCGGCCCTCCGGCGGACGCACCCTGGTGCCCTCCAACGCCGGCCGCCCCTCGCCCCCCTGTGCTGTACAGCCCCGGCGCGCGCCCCGTCCCCGGGCGCCCGGCGCCCTCCCGCTGCCCCCCGACGTCCCCGGCTGCCTGCCGCCCTCGCATGCTCGCTTGCTTCCGTCTCGTGCCAAGGGAGCCCCGCGCTGCCGCCGGCGGCCGCGGCGGCTCCTCCCGCCCCGACGGGCCGCGCGTCCCGCCCGTCCCGCCGCGCGGCCCCGCTCCCGCCCCGCCGCCCGTGGGGTCGTCGCTGCTCTGTCTCCCCGGGGAGGGCGGGAAGGGGGACACCGGCTGCGGCCCCGCGGGCACCCGGAGCAGCCCGCGCGGCCGGGCCGGCGCCGAGGAGATGCCACCTCAGGACACCAAGCACTGCAGCTCTTCCAGCCTCTAAAGCCATGGGCGCGGCGGCCCCTCCGCTCCGCGCTGCCGCCCGGGGCAGCCCGGGCCGCGGAGCGGGGCGGCCCGGGGCGAGGAGGAGCGCGGCCGCGCGGCGCCCGCCCTCCGGACTCGCGCTTTCCGGGCTCCCTTTGGGTTTGTTTCGCCTTTGTAACGACCGGGAAGGAACTGCTGTCCCGAGCGCCGCCGCCTCCGGCTCTGCTTGGCTCGTGGCCCGCGGGAGAGGGTCCACGCGCCCCGTGGGGACGGCCACGGCCGCCAGGAGGGGACGTGAAAGAGGAGAAATCCCCAGAGCTTGGGGTACGGGGGGTCCCGGACGCGTGTGCTGCGTTCCCACTGCCCCACAGCCATGTTGGGGTAGGAGAAGACGGGGATGCGCCCCCAGCGCCCCATGGCACCCGGACACCCCGCTGCCCTCCCCACATGGGGGCACCCCACATCCTCCAGAGCCCCCCCAGGCTCCACGGCGCCTCCATCTCCCCCAGGGCTGCCTTCTCTGGTGCACCCCTATASCCCATATGTGCCCCCCCATCCCAGGGTACCCTGCTCCCCCCAGGGGCACCCCAGGGCGCTCCCTGTGCTCAGGGCACCCCCACATCCCAGCGCACACCCCACAGCCCCCGCATGTCCTGACCCCTCCAGCGCTGCCCCATAGCCTGCCCTGCGCCCCGCCGTGCCCCCACCGAGAGACGCAGTGTCCCCAGCAGTGTCCCCAGAGCCCCCTGACCCCCATGGGCACCCCATGTCCCCCATGGGGCAGCCCCACTTGCCCTGGCTGGGCAGCCCCCCCGCATCCCTGGCAACACCCCGCCCCTACCCAAAGGGGCGTGTCTAGGGCGGGGCTTGATTGCGGGGGCGTGGCTTGAGCCAGGCACGGGAGTTGTTCCAGGGGCGGAGCCTGTGGCCGGGGATGGGCGTGTCCAGGGCGGGGTTTTTCTGGGGGTGCGGCTTTCTCCTGGGGGCGGAGCTTGTTCTGGGGGCGGAACTT